CAGAGGACACTTTGTTGGCATATGCTAACCGTACAAATGACAAGTACTAGTACCCTCACACCCAAATATCAATATGGCTGGTTATTTCCGTGATTATTATATAGGTTCTGTGGCTGCGTTCATACTTTGCGCCAGCGTCCACCAGCGGCCATCAGCTTTTCGAGCGTCCGTCAGCGTCAGCGACTAGGAAAGTATAGATATCGATCTAGCGAATGGCAGCGTCTACCAGCATCCACCAGCGATCGAGTTGGAAAGTGAGGGGAAGTAGAAGGGAGACAGCTTAGTTGCGCGTCGTGAATTTGTGGGAGTGCGATCGCATCATACTGCCCAATACCGTATTCCTCATCTCAGGTGGTACATCGATCCATACTCAGGGTACAGCATCGTTGTGCGGAACACATGAGAGAGGGTCGTATATGATCGTTGTCGTGAAGGGGGTCTACGCGGCTCTGAGGGAAATTTGCCGGTGGGGAAAAAAATTTTTCTCAGTTGTTGACCTTTCGTAATTTTTCTTGTTTCATATGTACTGTATTCCCCTCCGCTCCGCGGAAAATTTTTGAGTGAGAAACTGGAAAATGTGGGAGTAGGTAGGTGTTGGAGAAGGGGGAGGGGCCGTACCGAGACCCTCCCTCGAGGATGGGGGAGCTGTCGTACTGACACCGCCATCTCACACGTTACGATGCTGTACCTTGTCCATACTTTCCTAATCCTTCAAAACGCCGATTGTCGCTGGTGTACGCTGCTGCAAAGTGCGAACGCAGCCTGAGCGCCCTCAAGTCAAAATCAACTGGGTAGATCTCAAACTGCACTGAGATCAATTTCTAGCGTTCCTCACTAAGGCTGTGTTCATACTTTGCGGCAGCTTCCACTAACGTTTCAAGCGTCCACTAACGTTTGGAGCGTTTGGCAGCGTGAGCGACTGGGAAAGTACACAGATCGACCTAGCATTTCCCAGCGCTCGCCAGCGTCTTGGAAAGCATAGTTGTCAATCTAGCGTCTGCCAGCATGCACCAGCGTCCGGGAAAGGAAAGTATGGCGCGATATGAAGCCAGCAGAGAGCTGGTACCCTTCTATCGCGCCATACTTTCCACCAGCTGTGTGCTACCCTCCTATCGCGCAATACTCTTCTCTCCCGGACGCTGGTGGACGCTGGGAGAGGCTGGTGACGTTAGATCGATATCTGTACTTTCCCGGTCGCTGACGCTGCTGCCGGACGCTTTGTGACGGTGCCCGGCGAAGTATGACGCAGGCCCTAAGCGCGCGCTGCACTCGAGCCATAAAATTATGTGCGATATTATAAAAATTGATGCTTGGGGTACAACCAGCAGTTCCAGGGTATAGCAGTTGGAAATGGATGTGTTTCGTCAGACGACGAGATTGATACGACCATCTACTACAGATATGCCCATGGAATGATTGATGAAAGGTAGACGCTCTTCAAATGACTACCAGCAAATGAATTTTCTCCTCCTTGGCTTTTCTGAAAGAAAAAAAAGTAAAAAACGAAAAAACTCTTTTTCATGAAATCCATGAAAAAACTCTTTTTCATGGATTTGATTGTAGTATTTGTCGGAATACCCTTAGCTCTACTTCGTCCGGGCACTTTCGGAGTTACGAGTTTTCTTTCCGCACCATTGCTTTAACTTTTGTACGGGATGGAATTTATTGTTATTGCAAGATGAAAAGAAACCTTGAAGGAGAAGATGAGACTTTTTGTGCGAAACTACTAAGGGGTAGGAGCTTCGGACGGGATTTTGTTGAGGTCAAAGGCTTTTTAGACTGGAGCTACTAGGCACTTCTTTGTCTCTCCCCCTACCTCCTCCTAATATTTTCTCACATTCCAGCAGATGGCAAGGAATTTTATCACAGTGCTGCAGCAACAATGCATACACCTGCCCGTTCCACAAATTTAATGGATTTGATCCTTGCTCAGAGTTCGTGAAAGCTGAGACGGGGCCTAGGTGAGTTAAGGACTAGCCAAGAAATTCAGGTACCACCTTGTGATTTTTCGGGTCAGTCTCCAGTGTTCTGTAGTCACGTTGAAGGCAAAACAGGGTTAGTGCAAGAATGCTAAGTGATAGGCAGAAGTTCCTACCTCAGACGGGTCTCGAACCTACATCTCACGCTTTCCGGGCGAAGTGGACCATAGGTAACGTTACGGGGGCCGCTCTTAGGTTGCGTTCTTACTTTGCGGAAGCGTGCGCCATCGTTCTGAGCGTGCAGCGTTAGCAACTAGGAAAGCTCATAGTCAGATATCGATCTGACGTCTGCCAGCGTCTACTGGCGACGAGCAGCGTGAAGGAATGGAGAGTGGGGGGAGGAGGGTAGCAGACAGCTGGCACCTTCCTATCGCCCCACACTCTCTACCAGCTATCTATACTTTCTTAGCTGCTGATCCTGCCGGACTCGGAGCGCTGGTGGACGGTATTGGTCTCTGGTGGGCGCTGAAGCAGCCTCACCTGCTCGGCTCAATGGTTTTAGTTCCATTGCCTTTCTCATTTGTTCAACGTGATGAGCCTGATATTGTCGGTGAACAGCGAAGGTGAGCGAGTAAGAGGCGCCTTAATGGCCAAACGGATAGCGCGCTCACTGGAAAGCCTGCGGTATTGGTTTGAATCCTCCCGGGGTCAAGGTAACTGTCCATAACTCAGCACTCCTGCGATGACTTTCGCAGCGCGAACAGTGGCGTCGTACAGCAATTATCACAATAAAACACTTCAGAATGGAAGTTAGTTTCTTCTTTTGCGCTTCACGTTACCATGAGAGAAGAGGGTTTTGTTAATCGACAAAAAAATGCAGGAATATGTCTCCCCCACTATTTCGAGTTAAAGTCTTCAACCTCCCACGGATTTGTCACCGAACTTTCCTTCCCCAGTACATT